TGTCTGCCCAGGCTGTACCATGCTGGGGCTTCTAAGTGGTGGGCCATACCTTGGGGTGGGGACGAGCCTGGTATGGTTGTGTTTACCTGAGTGTTCGTCCAGCCAGTGCCTAGGGCAGTAGATATGCCAAGCAGAGGTTCGGCCAGGGAAGGGCTCTGGCCAAAGCTAGCAGGACTTCAGAGCTCCAGCTAAGCAGACTAGGCTCTTGGCCCCCAAGGGACCAGAGCAGGCTAGGGCACAGAGCCAGGCAGATTACGTACTGGGGACCAGGCAGAAGCTCAAGCCCTGTGTTCTTGGGTGGATAGGGGATTTGGGAAGAAAGAGGGTACCATATTGAAGTTTCTGCTATATTGAGGCTACATCGCACCCAGGGCCCATCTATGCCACTCCAATTATGGGTTCTGTTTGCTGCAGGATATATTCCAGCTCCCACCAGACATTGAGGGTAAAGATGTTGGCGTTCTCTTTCTCTCATCACCACTGGCCCAAGAACGCGGCTGGGTCTGACCTTGTCAGCGAGGTTATCCATGCCCTGGACCCAGGAGAAGAGGAGGGTGGGAAGCTGACGCGGGGCTGACATCAGGGAGACTGGTGGGCTCTGTCCCCACACCCTGGCTGCTCACGATCATTCTGCCTCTCCTCGCCCTGCTAACCTGCCTGACCAGGCTTCAGGGGAAGGATGGGTGGTTCTTCACCTCCCCTGCTTTCTTCTCCCCCATCATCCCAAGCGGGGGCTTGGTGTTGACAACACTCCCACGAGGCAGGTCAGTCAATACGCTATCCATTTGCAGAGGAAGGAACGGCATCTCAAGGAGGCTGGTGACTTGGCCCAGGTGACACAACAGGCCTAGGGTTGGCTCCGCCTTTTGAGTTCTCTAAACTCCAGTTCTCTCGTTAGGCAAGCGGAATAATAAAACCAATCACACAGGCTCCTGTGAGGATTAGTGAGATAACATGTAAAAATCACTCTGCAAGCTGCTGTTCAAACGCTAGTGATTTTTTACTATCATAATTAGGACTAGTTTAAAGATCTTTTGTCTTTGAACTCAATACCCTCTTTTCAAAATTGCTTATTCGTCCATCTAGTCATTCAGTAACAATTTTTGCACGTTTGTGACGAATCAAGTGCTCTGCTAGATCCTAGAACAGGAAGCTGAAATAGACAACTGAGAAGAGGAGGTCATAGGCTGGAGGTGAGTCAGGCCCTCAGAAGGTGTGTGGCAGCCAGTGTGGGTGTCACCAAAATAAGTGTGTGAGCTACGTGGCGAAAGGGCGGAGGAGTGGTGAGTGGCTATGCGATGGGGGTGGCAGCAGGAGGCTCCACTGCCTCATGATGTGCTCCCTGTCCTCGCACTCAGGACCCTCATGCCCTCTCTTCTGTGGGACGGGATCTGCTCTGGGGAACGGTGAGGAGTCTAAAATGGGAAGACCACTAACTGCAGACTCTGTGGGGTCAGCTGACTCGGATGGACCTGCTGGAGGCCCACGTGAGATCAGGCTGGCCTGATCTGCTAAATTAAAAAAGTCAAACAAATGACCATGAATCAGAATGACTAGATGTCTATAATTACTACTCAAGAAGAAAAAAATCTCACTAAACCCGAAAAAAAAAAAAATCTGGATGTCTAATTTGCAAACCAGAAGTTACAGGGGAAAATCTCCCAATTTAGAGTTTATTGCTCCCTGTTGTGCGCTTAGTTATGATTAATTATTCTGAAATTTACGAGCCAGGGTCCTGTCACAGTTGGCTGAACAAATTTTCCATCATCCATCTGGAACAAAATACAGCTCCAGAGAGTGACCTCAATGCGACCTTGAGTTGGCACAGTTTTAGTGATGTGGGGTCCAGATTGGAGTGGGGTTTGCAGCCCATAGCTGCTCAGAACCTTGATATCAGTGGCTAAGAGGGCTTGACATGGAGAAGAGACGCCTGTAGCTGGTGTGCCCATGCAGTTCTTTGAGCCAACCCAATGCCGTACACCGGCCAACGGCCCCCAGTTAGCTGCCATAAACCCCATCACAAGAGGTAGCATTTTTCAGATTGGGCATTTAAATCTGGGAGTTTAAGTGGTTGCTAGTGGTGACTATAGAAAACAGGAAGAATATCCTTGATGATTCAGCTGGGCAGTTGTATTTGGGCCCAGAGAAACAATGTGGCCTCTTTTAAAAAAATCAAGCTCGAGGAATTGGTGCAGATTAGAGTCAAGCTGGACATTGCAGGCACTGCTTCTTCATTGATTTCAGCTATCTCCAGCAGTAAGCTTCGCAGAATGCCATGCACATGCTCAATCCATATATGAAGAATCAAAGCATTTTGGCGCTGCAAAGGATTTTAGGGATTTTCAGGTTCAGTCTCCTCCCCCGCTCCCCACGCCGCCATGAGGAAACTGAAGTCCTAAAGAGGAGGAACTATTTGATCAAGGTTAATTATCAGCTGGAACGAAAACAGGTGGTCTGCCTCCAGGACCACCCCCCTCAACCCCGCACAAGGTTGTGAAGGTTGGGCACTGCACAGAAGCCCCTGGGCGAGGGGATGGATGGATCTGAAGTCCAGTCCACAACTGGACTGAAGGGAGGGGTGCCTTTTCCCTTTCACAAAGGGCCCATCTACTCACCAAGCCAAATGGGGGCCACATCTACTCCGAGAAACGTTGGATGCAGAAGGGTGACGTGAAGTGAACAGAGGTCCCGACTGTTGAGTGTTTATAGGGTTAATTGATTCCTTTTGCCTTTTTGTAAGCAAAAACAGTGTGATTTTTGCTGTTCTGTGACCCACTGTATGTATGTTTGTAGGTATGAATTTATCTACCTGCCTACCTATCATCTGTGGTACCCGTATTGATCAGGATATTGCAACTAATGGATAAGAGGGCTAGTGCAGAGAACAGGGACAGCATTCACTCCCTCTGGGGGGCACCTGAGGAACAGTCCATCCATATCTGTCTGTCAGACTAGCTGTAAGTTCTGGTCCACTTCTGCTTCCCACAGTCCTACTGGAGTCTTGTCCATGGAATCATCATGAGTGAGCTTTGTACTGGGCACCCAGGGTGGAGGTCGGGGGGCACCAGAGGCAGGAGAAGACAGCCTCATGGAGGTTATGATCTAATGCAGGAGGAGGAACCAATCCATGGCCCATAGACACATGCAGACATTAGGGAAGAGCCTTCAAGAAATGTGCAAGGAGAAAAGAAAGGGAGGCCATTAAGACACTTTAAAAATGTTTACAAAAGTAAGACAAACCAAATTTGGCATGCAAATGATTAGGCAGGTGGATCAGGCATATATTTGTCAGTTCTTTCTCAGAATAAGAAATAAATTAGGCACTCTATTTGCATTTTCAAAAATTCCTTACTTTGTCCCCTTGTGAATTCTCTCGGTTCGTCCTGGACCCTGCTCTTGCTTCAGCTCCTGCCCTCGGGTCTCAGAGTGCCCAGAGAAGTAGAGCTTTGCCACCTAGTTCTCCCACCCCTTCCAAACCTCTTGGAGAAGACCAGCCCTTCCTGCTCTTACTTCCTATGGGTAAGGCTCGTGAGCAGTAACCAGGGAGGCCATGCAAGCCTGGGCCTCACTAGAGTGATCAGGGCCAATGTACGTCTGCAAAGTATCTGACTCCTTATGGAGGCGGGCTTATCTGATTAAGCTTTGATTGAATGCCAGATATCAGAGAGCCAACCATCATTAGAGGCTGCTAATGGGCACCCCATCACCTGCATCATCCACTGTGAAGATATGAAATAAGGCCAGTGACCTGTGTGCGTTTTGTCACCTAGGAGCCTCCAATACAAGTTAATTTTCGTGAAATTCATTCAGGACAGATGTGTGTTTTTGTTTTTGTTTTTTTACTACTGAGTACAGGCCATTGTTCAATTTTCCCAGCAACCTCAGGCATTGTATGATTTTTCAGAAGATGGTGCAGAAAGAGAGTTTCAGAGCATGAACACGTGTAACCTTTCAGAGGAAATGTTCAGATGGAACCAGCCAACCAATACATCACCCTGTCAGTTTCACAGCAGCATCTAAGATAGCTTTTGCTATGATCTTTACAGTAACAAATGGAAAAAGAGACTCCAAAATAATGTGTACGTTTATGTCAGATGATCAAAAACCTCACTAAGAAGTTTTTCGTGCCACAGAGGGATGCAAAGGTCTTGAAAGTGACTCGTGAGCAGAGGTCACTTAGAGCAGGGGCTTTCTCCTGGCCTATCCCCTGCACCTCTCCATTAGCTGGTCAACAAGGGGGACAATGTCAGATGTTGTCTGCCTTCTGTTGAACCCTGGCTATGGGCCTGGCACTCCACATGTCTTATTTCATTTCATCAGTACAACCACCTGCTAAGTAGATATTATTTCCCTGGTTGTTCTCTGAATTGAAGTTCGGTTAGGTCAAGTAACTTGTGGAAAGTCATACAGCTAATAAGGAGAAGATCCAGCACTTAAACCCAAGTTTCTCTGACTGCGGAACCCACGCTCTTGTCAAAACACTAGATTGCCTTCCTCATGCACCCACTAGGGGATGAATCCTGGCTGTGAACAGATGCAAGAGGAATCGAGGAGGCATCCCTGCCTTTCTTTGGATTTGAATCCTCATGGCAGCCTAAAATGGGGTGGGGACCGTGAGAAGAGTGTTAGAGCCATAGTGTATCAGACCTGGTCTCTCTTTCCACAGCTACCATTTAACCTCTGCAAGCCTCAGTTTCCTTAGTTCTAGAGGAGAAGAATAATAATGTGTTTACTTCATAGAGTTGTTGGGAGGATTATATGATACGGTGCATCTCATGGGCTTAGCACAGGGCCAGGCACATCGTACATTTTAGGAGGAAAACTTGCAAGTAGTTTTCAGTTCTCTTAGTGTAACTAGCTTGGTGAAGGGTGAGGTATGTCACATCCTAAAAGCGGAATCAGAACAGAGCTAAAACTTGTAGATCTGGCTCTGATGTGGGTGCTCATGGTTCCTGGCTAGGGTCCTTGCAAAGTGTGGCCTTGGGGTTCTTATTTTCCAGTCATCACCATATTTAAGGGTAAAGTGGAAGAGGTGGAGTTGCCTGTGGAGAAGGTAGACATCATCATCAGCGAGTGGATGGGCTACTGCCTGTTCTATGAGTCAATGCTCAACACGGTGATCTTTGCCAGGGACAAGTGGCTGGTAAGTGTTCTGCATGCTGTCCCCTCATTGGTCTGCTGGCTGGCTTGCTGCTCTACCCTTGGCCTACAGCCTAGGAAGAATATGAAGACTTCAGAGAGGACTTGGGCTAGAAGGTCACCTCTTCCAGGCCCCTCTCCTTAAACCAGATCTGCTTCAGGGATCAGAATGATTGTCCCCAGGTCCAACATGTGTAACTACCACCATGTTCTCCTGTAGGTCTACCCTGGGCCTCTTTGGCTATACTTGACACCCATTCTTTGTTGTTAAGACAAAAGTCTATTGTGGTCAACGAGTACTTAGGACTTGCATGGCTGCCAGAGCAGAGCATGCGTCTGACCTTAGTTTCTCCTGGCTGAAGGGTCATAACATCTTTCCCTGTTCATCATTGGACTAACCTTGTCCACCCTTCATTTGTTCCATTGACTCCACCTAGGTCCCTCTAATTTTCCCTGCTCCAAAATTAAAATTGAGCATCACTATCCTAGCCCTAACCCTGGTGACAGTCTGCTGAGTGAGAAATGCTGGCAAGGGGGTGCTTGTCTGGTGACTCTATGTGTAGTTCAAAATGTGATGTCTTTGTCAGGTGAATAGATTACAAGACCCATTTCCCCACAATTCATCAACAGAAACCTGGAGGGCTTATGTTTCCAGACCGGGCAGCTTTGTACGTGGTAGCAATTGAAGACAGACAGTACAAGGACTTCAAAATCCACTGTAAGTCACCTTTTGATCCTTTGTTGGGCTTTTATCGCACATTTGGGGAGAGAGGCACTTCAGCGGGCCTGAGATGAGCAGCCAGTCTCATGAACACAGCTGCTGTGCCTATGGAGGACTTTACCTGTGACCCTTTCTGGATTTTTCTCTCTAAATGTTTTCCTCTAGCCCCAAGGATGGGAGGTGTACAGAGGGAGAGTAAGCAGTGTGGCTGGTGTAAGATAAAGGGATGAGAGAATGAAGCAATGTGAAGAAAAAATGAATTGAAGCAGCAGAAGCTGCATTTTTGCAGAGAACACAGGCCAGGTGGCCGGAAGCCCGTCAAGGTTCAGTTATCCCAAAAGTCCACCACGGGGCTCAGGAATGCAGGTGTTTAGCCAGGCCAATCATTCTGAATCCTGCTTTTATACCACTCAGACTCAGCAAAATAGTATTGATTCTCTTTCACGTTAAGTAAAATATGGGGAGAGATGGAGACTGTGCATGTGTGTGTGCATGTGTGTGGCAGGGCACTCATATCCAAGTCTGTATTCATAATTCCTTATCAGATGAAAACTTGTTGTTCTCTTAGAAAAAAAAACCCTGCAAAATCTGCAATATTCGATCTGGTGCAAAAAGGCCTGTTTTGTTCTATTTCATTTAAAGGGTAACATTTCTCAGTGACGTAAGTCTGGTCCTCAATGAGATTATACCAAACATGTTTTCATAACATTGGCAACTGCCATGTCTCCTCAACCAGAACTAAACACAGCAAAGGAGCAAAGAATGCTTCACACAGGTGACATGCACACAGTCCAACCCAAAGCACAAGGTACAGACTCCAAATGGTCCAACGGACGCGGCAGGTCCGGGTTCCTGCCCCCACAGGGGCGAAGCCCTCCTTCGCAAGGTGACTGTGGAGGGTTCACAGACTGGACAGATGAGTAGATGCCTCCTGCCCTGAGAGGCTAAGACTCCACAGTTCAACACATCATTGCTCCATTGATTCGAACAATTGCCATCTGATCGTTGTTAGTGCTGCTGATGGTACCTCAGCTGAACTGTGCTCCAGAATGTGTGCATTTGTGTGCGTGTTCACACCCTTCTGGAAATGAAACATCAAAGTTTAGAGCCAGGTTCAGGAGAAGGCAGAAATGGGACAGTTATTTGAGGCTCTGTGCCCTCTGCCTCCAGCTAGTCTGGCGTCATTTCTAACATCTGATGAGCAAGGAGAGGTGGAGTGGCCTAGGTCAGATGATCGTGCTTTGAAGTCTGCCTGGCCTGGGCTCCAATCCTACCTGGGTGACTGCGAGCACCCTAACGTCTTTGAGCCTCGGAGATAACATGACCAATCCCCTAGACTTGTCGTGGGGATCGAGTGAGGTGATGTAGATCAAAGGACAGGACAGCTCTTGGTGCTACCTCGCAGCGGGATCTGGTCTCCGAACCTGTCAGTGTGCCCCCTTCTGCTTTCTGCTCGTGCCTCTGGCAACGGAGCCCGACTGCCAAGATGGTTGGCCTCCATGGCTCAGAATCTAGGACAGATGTGTTCTCATGGCAGAGCGCAGAAACAACTCAACAGTGAACGTTGATCAAACGCATATATAAATAGGACATATTTTGCCCTGGAGCTGCATTATTATGCTGCTTTTGGAATTCTCACCATAGCCGTACTGAAGAGTGTTTTGAGGAGAACCTTCAGGCGCATTCTTCGTTCTCACGAACACTTAAATATTTGTTGAGCTCCTACCCTAGGCCCAGCTCTTTTAGGGACTTCCTCATGGTTCAAGAGTAAACATACCTTCCCCTCCTCCCTTGCCCTGGATGTGTTCAGGAACCTCTGGGGCATGCACACTGTAATGTGCCAGCTGGGGCCCGGGGGGTGGCCTGAGGGCACCAGGGGGTGGTTGTGGATACTGAGCTGCTAGCCCAGCACTCGAGATCACGTGATGTAGTCTTGCACTGCCTGTTGCAGTTTTTGTAGCTTCTGGGAAAGAAAAAAAAAAAAGTCAGCCCCATTTTTTCTTGAGGAATACTTGCTCTGGAGTCTCTGTCAAAAAAAAAAAAAAAAAAACACCTAACAAAATCCAAAAATCAAACACACACTTAAAATTTATTTAAAATACTGTTAAGCTTTCTATTTAATTGCTTTTTAAAAATGATCTGTTTTTGTTTTTGGTAAAGGAAGCAAGCCCATTTAGAAATCTGTTTCAAATAAATGAAGATTTTGGTTACTCTTGAGTTCTAAACCAAAAGTAAAGCATAAAGGTTGCTGGTTGCTAAGAGAATAATTGTAAGCAAATTTCAGTTTGCTCAAGAACCAGTTAAAAGAGAAAAATCTTAAAGGGGGGCAGGGGAATGAGACATGCTCAACTTCTTTCAGAAATTAAGTTGTTAGTAAAACAGCTTCCTCCCCTGCCCCCCTCTCCTCTGCTCCCCTCCTCTCCTTTTCCTTTACTTCCTCAACCACACACAACATGGGAACACAAGAATGAGTGAAATACAGAACCTGCCCTCAATTTGCTCACTAGCTACTAGAGGACATGTAGGAAGGGAGACAGATGACTGGCCTGTGCTAGGCTCACAGTACGTATTTTGTATGGTGAATGAATGAGTAATGAATGAAGGAATAAAAGTAAGCAAAGGAATGTGCAAGGTATAGTGTTTGACCCTGAGAGAGGAACAGTCATTTCTTAAAATTTCTCCTATGGAGGAGATTTATAGTATTTCAAAATTGGAAGGAAACTTGATAGGTATTCTATTTGATTTCTTACCCAGTACACGAATGTACAACCTGCTGGGGATCAGAGGGATGGGCAGCAGCTTCCCAGCTGATGGGAAGACGAAGAGGAAGGCCTCGTGCAGAGTCAGCGGTGCCTGCACTTGGAAGGCTGGAGGGCAGGACCTCAGTGGCTGTCCATGGGTTTCTCCTCCACCTCCACCCCGACATCTAGAGTTCTATTCTCTGGCACGAGCCTATTTTATACAAGGAGCTGACTTTGTTCTAAGAGGCTAAAATGTATGAAACTATTGTAAACACCTTCCCTTCTGTCTAGAGGAGAAACTGTAAGTGGCACCTGGTGGCACTTGCCCTAGTTTTTTCTGACCACATTCTGAGGCAGTCCTTTAAGCCCCAGCTTTGAGAGAAACTCAAATTACTGGGGCCAGGGTGGGAGGGAGGATGTAGCTACATCTCTCTCCAGTGAGAAGTAAAATTTGTTCTCCAGTACTTCGTGTTTCTTTTTCCCCAGCTACTTTTAAGATTTTCTCTTTGTTTTGATATTCATCAGATTGACTCTGATGTGTCTGGATGTGTTTTTCTTTGTATTTATCCTGCTTGAGATTCTATGGGATTCTGTGATCTGTGGGCTGCTGACTTCATTAGCTTAGGAAAATTTTCAGCCATTATCTCTACAAATATTATTTTCTGCCTGATTTTCTTTCTCTTCTCCTTCATGAACTCCAATTACACATTTGTTAGATATTGTCCCATGGATCTTGGATGCTCTACTTTTTTTCTCTTTTATTTTCCTCTTTGTGTTTAAGTTTGGATAATTTTTATTGACCTGTTTTCAAGTTTATTTATTATTTCCTTTGATGTATCCATTCTGCTAGTAAGTTCATTGAAAGAATTCTTTATCTCAGATATTGTGATTTTCATTTCTACATTTCCATTGGCTATTTTTTATAGTTTCCATCTCATTGATGAAATTCTCCATGTGTTCATGCATTTCTCCAGCTTTTCCATTAGATTATTTAATATATTTATTATAGGTACCTTAAAGTATCTGTTGGATAATTCCAATACTTGTGCTATCTCTGAGTCTAGTTCTATAGACTATTTTTTCTTTTGGTGATAGGTCATATTTTTTTCCATTTTCAAGTGTTTTGTAATTTTTGTTAATGCTGGACATTGTAAGTAAAAGAACAGTAGAGACAGAGGAATAATAATTATGCTCAGAAAAGAGCATGCCTTTTCCTCTGCCGGGCTATTAAAGTGGGATTTGAGTCTGTAGCTATGATAGGTCTGAGCTTGGTTGTTGTTTAAGTTACATGCATTGCACCATAGTGCAGTCCTTTACAACAGTTTGTTTTAATCTATAAATGAAAGTTCACAGGTGCTTCTGATGTTATTTTATAAATCTGCAGAAAATTAATAACAATATTTCCTGGTGGCCAAGGACCCTCACCCCACATTCACTCAAAAGATAAGACATAATTGCAACAAAAAATTAATGTGCTTGATTTGTATCCTCTCCCATCCCTGCTCCACTTATGGTAAAGGAGCTAGTGGGAAATGAATGGTCAGCAGAAAAGAGAGAAAAAAATCTAATGCCCTGGATGCCCTGTCCCTTGAATAACTGAAAATGGGGCAGTCTAGCTGGGGAGGGAGCTAAGACATGAATTAACCCCTGAAAAGGTAACTAAAACACCAGGCATTGCGGAGCAGTACAGGCATTATATGTTTGGGAATAAACTTCAGGTAAAAATAGCATTACTGGTGGGCCATATTGTGCCAGATGCTGTGCTGTAGGTGCTGAGGGTACAGCAGGAGAGGTCCCACGGTTGGGAGTGGTTGGCGAAGTTTTCGTGAGACTCTAAGCTCACCATTTGAGGACTGGAAGGGACTTTAAAGATCATCTAGCCCAAGGGCTTCTAAACTCTGGTTGGAATTGCCTATATTCCAGCTTCCTGGGTCCCAAATCTGGAGATTCTGTTTCAGTATGTCTGGTTTTGGTCCAGGAATCTGTATTTTTAAAAGTGTCCCAGATGATCCTGGAACACGGAACCACTGAACCAAACTGCTCACTTTACAAACATGCCAGAGAAGGGACTTGATCTGCCCATGGTCACACAGCTCGGATGGAGGCAAAGCCAGAGCTCAAACTGCATAATGACAACAATGACTGTGTATCAAGGGCTGTCTGTGTGCCAGGGGCTGTCTCATGTACTTTACACGTCCTATCACAATTCGTCCTCTAACAACCCCAGAGAGGAGCCATAATGATCATCCTCTCCATTTTAGAGAAGAAACCAACTCTCTGAGAGGTTGAATTCTTGTCTAAGGTCACACAGCAAATAAGGGGCAGAGCCCAGATTTGAACTCCAAAGCCCAGGCCTTTAAACTGTGGCACACGTGGACTCAGGATTTGCGCATCACTCACACTGAACCTTCACTGGGGGCAGGGTCGAGAGGGGCAGGAGCGGCTGCAGGCCTCTTAAGGAAGGGTTTCAACAAAGGCAGCATGTCTCAGTGTGTGTGTGTGACCTGGGGAGAGGATGGATAGCTGTTTCCAGATTCTAGAAGGGGGTCTTCTCTGAAGCGTGTCCTGTAGCCAACTGAACAGCTTCCTTCCCCAAACATAGGTAGGTCTCAGCTGGGAATTTGGCCCCAGCCTCGGGCGATTTACTGGGCTATGACTGGCATCTTATCCTGAAGCCAGAATCTCACGAGTGGCTCACCCTTTGGGAGATGATTGTTTTCTCTGCCTCTTCTCCCTGAGGAAGGTCTTTGTGTGCCTTAGAAAAGAAACTGAGTCAAAAGAGCGAAGGTTTCTCTGACTGTTCAACACCCCCCCACACACCCCCTCTCCCACACACAGACAGGGACATAAGTTCCCTAAGATACCATTTGTTTGAGGAATGTTTTGAAAGACAATTTAATACTATAAGATTTTAGAGAAAAGCATCTCTCTTTCAATGCATTGCTAAACCTGTCTGAATAAACAAGAGATGAGATTCAGCTGCCAGTAACTAAAGACGCTGCGAAGGCCACCCTCTGCAGTGAGGGGAGAGGAAGTTGCCTTCCTGGTTGCTGTCACAACTGGCCCAGTGCGGCTGAAGGGTTAGGGGCCAAGCTGGGTCTGAGCCCTGGCTCCACTGTTTCCCTGAGGTGTGCTATTGAGCCAGACACTGCGTGTGAGCCAGATGCCAGCTTCTCCCGGCCCCGGTTTTGTCATCGGTCACATAGAAGTGTCTGTATGGGGTTGCTGGCTAAATTAAATGAAGAGTCTGCCCTGAGCTAGGTAATCAGTCACTGAGAGCAATGATTACCATCATTTAAGGGGGATCTTGGACCATTCGACTTGCATTCATTTACTCACCAACCTGCACCCTAAATCTTTCTCCCTCTCAAAGCGTCTTATAAGCAGCCCCAACAAGGGGCAAGGAGCACTGCTGGGAGGTTTATGCCCCTCCTGGAGGATATTCCTTATGAGATGGATCCTTAGTGAGTGCACCATGGCATGTGAGAAAGGCAGACTCTCGTGGACTCGCCCAAAGCCCTCATTTTGCAGTTGCGAAAACTGAGGTTCAGAGATGTTAGAGAATTCACACAAGGGCCTGGCCAGTAAGCGGTGGTGCTGAATTCTAACTGTAGCCTATTTCACTTTAAAAGCCTGTGTTTCTCTCTGCTGCGTTCAAGGTTCAGTTGGCGGGAATGGGAGGAGGGAGAGAGATGGGCCTTCTGGGTGTGGAGAGTGGCTTGAGCAGAGGCACTGAGATAGAAATGTGGATGGCATGGCAGATAAAACGGTTCATAGGAGGCCGCTGGCTCAGCGAGGGAGACAGGAAAGTAGGCACTGGAAAGAGTCAGGTAATTTGGGTTCTAGTCTTGGCCCCGCAGCATTCTAGCTGTGTGACCTTGGAGAAGCTTCTCAGCCTCTCTGAGCTTTAGTTTCCCTAACCATAAAGTGGGACCCGAACAAATGAGATAATGAATGTGAGCATTTGGCACATTGCAAAGCCCTCCACCCAGAGGAGCTATTTTCCTCTCCTGATGCAGGGGAACATGGGCTGCCCCTCACCCTCTGTGAGGGCCTGCTGTGCTCTAGCACTCAGGAGGGTCAGGGAGACTTCTGGGGGTCCTGCTGCCCACCCTCACGTCTCGCTCTGTTCATACAGGGTGGGAGAATGTCTATGGCTTTGACATGACCTGCATCCGGGACGTGGCCATGAAGGAGCCCCTGGTGGACATCGTGGATCCAAAGCAAGTGGTGACCAATGCCTGTTTAATAAAGGTCTGCAGACTCCTCCTGCTTGGGCCTGGGCATGCTGGGAACCTGGCTGTGCCTCCCTGGGAAGCTATGGGCCTGGAGTAAAGGCCACACCAGCTCCTGCACGGCCCGGCCTGGTGAGGCAAGGCTGCCTTGGCCAGAGCCTCTGGCACCCCATGGTGACAGTCAAAAGCAGGCACTGTCACTGAGCAGAGCCGTGGACTGGACGGTGGCACAGCTGAGGGGAGGGGGTCAGTGCATGTCCCTTGGTGGTGCAAGGTGGGGAGGGGGAGGGGCATCAGAAGAGGAGAGGAAGGAAGGGGGAGGGGCATCAGAGGAGGAGATGAGGGAAGGGGGAGGGCAGGGACATCAGAGGAGGAGAAGAGGAGAGGAGGAGGGGCATCAGAGGAGAGGAGGGGGAGGGGCATCAGACGAGGGAGGGGGGCGGGCGGGGGGGGGGACGGGTAGCATCAAGGAGAGCACACCCTGGAGACAGGAGGGTAACTCAGGCTTGGGGAAGCTTTACCATTCAGAGGTGGATGTCCCTATCAGGAAAGAATCCCTAGCTCAACGTGCTGTGTAATGGGCAGTACACTCCCCACTCCAAGCACACATCTGACCTGGCCAGACAGAGCCCCTGTCACCCCCAGCGTCCTTGTTTGCACGTGCTCTGACATCTTTTCTTCCATTGCTTTCTTCAGTGCGGATGAAGCACAGCTGGTCAGCACCCTCAGCACCCCAATCCTTAGTGCATTCTTCTTACTAAATATTCAGACATGCTCAATTTCATAGAGTAACAATAAAAGCTCCCCTTCCTTTCAGCTCCACACTCCTCCCAGAGGTAACCATTGTTCACAGGAGGGGTTGACCATTACATTCCTTTTTCTAAGTCTTTGCATTTATATATGCTAACATATCATGTGGAACCACATAAAACTCATGATATTTAGCTGCTTTTTTAAAATCTAGAAAAACATCAGTTTCATATGGTTCAAGTTAATTTTTTAATTAAAAAATCTGGGTTCATTAAGTATTCACCAACCCCCCAGCCCTCATCTTGTAAAACATCCTTGCCTGCTCTGGTCCTGTACCTGCCACTTCTTTTCTGGAAGTACTGGGGTGGAGGACTGGACACTTACGGTGGATAAAGAGGGAGGAGTCCAGGGCCACTGGAGGTGACAGGGAGTTTCTGAAGGACTGAGGCAAACTGCTGCTTTGCCCAGGTGAGAGCTGTCCTTTGTCCCTGGACATAACCTTCCTAAGAAGAACCATAGCCCTCGGTCCACAGTGTCACTGCAGCATTGAGAAGGGACCTCTGAGGGAAAATAGAACCGGATGAGCCTCACACAGGTCTCGTTAGATGCTGCCTCCCTATTGTGACATCTGCCTGAGAGGTCTGGCTTGGAGCCTCCGTTGACAGAGATCTCACTACTTCTTAACTCGGCCCGTTCCAAGTCCAGGCAGGATTGATTGTGAGCAAATGTGTCCTTTTATTTCTTCCTACCAGCCCCTCTGTCCCTGAAGCCTCTCCCTTCAGGTGTCCCAAACAAGAACCAGGAAAGAACACCCCAAACAAGCTCACTCATAGTGCAAAACATTTCTGTAAATATTGCAGGAGAGATAGAAGTCGACTGTGCAACTGAATTTGCCAGAATGACACATGGCACTTGTATCTAACCATTAGGCACCTGCATGTAATGGCTTCAGCTTGGGGATAAAATTCCTTCAGCGTGCTTGGGCCCCAGGTCGCTTTCCGCCCCGGACCTGCAGGTGTGGCCACTGCACTTCTGTAGGTCTACCGCTGGCCATGTGGTGGTCTGGCCTGCTTCTATCCCCTGGGCCGCACTGGTCTCCCTCCTCCTCTCCCAGCTCCCAGCCCAGAACCAGCAAGGGTCTTTCTCTCCGTGACACCTGAGTGCAGTTGGGGGCTAAGCAGCCGCAGTCAATGAAGGAGGGGCAGGTGGGGCGTGTATTACACACACTCCTTCTGAAAACTCCTCTGGCTATGTCAGGACTGCAGCTCTGTGCTGACGTCCTGCCCCCTCCCCGTGCCTCTGACCTTTCCTCCCATGTTCTCTGAGAAGGGTGAGGAGTGTCTGTCTGCTTCTGCAGCCAGGAGAGCCCCTCTGTCAGCGCTCTCACTAATGTGCTAAGCAATGTCTTGCCAAGCCTGTTGGAAAACACTTGCCCTTCTTCACACACTTAATTGCTATTTTCATCGCTATTAACGTTGCAGAGTGTGACACTTTATTATAATTAAGACTCTGTTTTGACCAGACTTCTGCTCTGAGACATCCATTTGTAACATGATTTGGTGGTGGGGATAGCAGCGGCCAGGGCCTCTTCTGAGTAACTGAGGCCTGTGGAGCCCTCTGCTTCGTCAGGGTCACCTGAGGCCGAGGCAGGCGGTCTCCTGGAGTCTCAGAGATGCTGCTGCTGCTGCAGAAAGAAAGAAACCTTCCAGCAAAGGGATCTGGGCTCTGGGGAGCTGGGATAACTGGATCTGACTCTGCAGGCTTTGGGTCTGAGAGGAAGGGGGACCTGAGCCCAGAGGGCCTCTGTGTCTCTGAAGCCCAGAGACAACTGATCCCATCCTCACAGATGGCTGGCCCCCCTCCAAAAGACCAACTGCATCCAGTGTCACCATTTTAATGTATAGCTTCATTACGTTGGATCTTGAAGGCTTTTTTGTTCCTTCAGAGGCCCCTATTATGATGCAAATATCTGTAGGACCCACTGAACACTGTCAGCTAACACAGGCGTTGATAGCTGACATTAAGTTGATGGACATCTGAGAGCAAGTCCCTGTAGAGATGGAATTCCTGACAGATGGGGTGGTGTGTGTGTGTGCCTTTGTGTGTGTGTGTGCATGCACGCTGAAAGGGGTGAAGAAGTGAGGGGAGTGACAGAAGGAGAAAAGCACCATGTCTGGATGTGGCAAAGCCTGCTTCCCAGTGCTCCCTGTCTGTGTCCAGACCAAGAGTTTTGGATATTTTGGGTAAGGCATGAGGAGTCATGAAAGGTTTTGGATCCAGGGAGCAGCACAGTCTGAACGGATCTGAAAGAGACTAGCCGGTTGGTGGTATGAAGGAGAAGCCTGGGGAGGAAGGAAAGTCATCAGCAGGGAGCCCCGTTGCGAGAAGACTGATGAGTGTCAGGTGCTATGTGACACAGCCAGGGTACACAGACCAATAAGGTGCAGCCTCTGCCCCCAGAGGGCTCCAGTCTAACGGTGGGGGTGAGAGCAGAGAATGTGAGGCTGCTGAGATGAGCCAGGAGCTAGGGTGGAAAGACCAGGCTGGGCTGGTAGCAGAGAGGACCCAGAGAGAAAGATACCAGGAACCTTGGACAGGGCCTGGCACCTGGCGGGCTGGCCCTGACAAAGAAGATGGAAAAGTCAACGAGTGTAGACAGTGAGCCTGGTGGATGTGCTGGTGCCGTTTTAAAAAATACAATTAAGCACAGCTTGCTCTGAGAGTTGCTGAGCTGGAGGGAACCTCTGGACATGTGGCCATCATGAACGCTGACAGGCACTAGGTCTAAAAAGGTTTCCTTTCTAAAAGTTTGGGAATGGCCCAAACTCAGAGGGTGACATGTAATGGAGGACCCCTTACACTCGGGCCCTAGGGCAAAGGGAAAAAGTATTAGGAGAGGGAAGCAGTGAAGGGATAAGGGTTGGCCAGCTGAAATGCAGGACGAGCCAGCAGTGTGCTCTGAGAGCGGAGCCTGCTGGAGTATGTCCCAGACGAGGAGGGTGGGGGCCCGATGTGGTCAGGCTTACACTCAGCTCTGAAGGTGGTAGAACACACTCAGAAGAGAAAGGCAGGATGATGAGGAGTCAGAAATCACGACTCACGATAAATGAACGAGAAACCCGGGCAGTTTGCATTGGAGAAGAAAAGGTTTTAGGGGACCCCTGTGAGCTTGAACAGACATTTGGCTTATTCTGTGGGCGGAAGTTACAGAGACTGGTGCGGGCTCTACTCGTTAGTTTGGAAGAAGGACCTACGGACTGGAGATGTTAGGAAGGGGAGTTAGCTGCCGGCTAGGTAGTGACAGTGTTCAGGCAAGCACCAGATGGCCCCTTCCTGGGAATGCTTCCGAGGGGGCTCTTGCATTGGATAGAAGGAGACTGGCTTTCTAATTTCATCAAATTCTGCACACCTGACCTGGGGCTCACCATTCCGCTAGCTCTTGTTCTCTATCCTTGGAATCTAGAAGTGCAGCATAACTTGCATTTGAAGTGACGTCACTGAGGGGCGCCCCCATTCCCCTGAACCTGCAATCCTACCCTCTTCTTAACCAACAGGTCAGAGCTTCAGCTCCCCCCAGAGGATGTCTTGGCTGCTCGCCCTAGACCACAGCAGGGCTCTGATCTGCCCCTGACCACACCTCCTCCTCTGTCCACCCCTGTGGCGGCAGGACTTTTCTTTGAAGGCCCCGGGATGCTTTGCATCTGCTTTTCCTTTATTTATCCTAGAAATATGTAGAGATAAAAGCCATTTCTGCTACTCCATTTTGTCTCTTCCCCGCTCTTGTTTCCCCACCCTCAGACCCCTCTCTCCTACTCATTCCTCGGGTCTCAGAGAGCCCTGGGAACCAGCCCAGGCACACAGGCTCTGTCTGGTGCTCATAGAGCTTTCAGGACGGTGGGCAGCTCTTCCTCTGACCTCACTGAAAGCTGTCCACACGCCTCTCGGGCTCTTGGAAGGTTTTCCCTGTCTCTTCGGAGCCAGCAAACAGCAGGTCAGCATCCTTCACAAGAAAAGAACATCACACTGCAAACCGTCTTTCATTACACTTGCTCCCCATGCAGGATTGATTTTCAGCCACTTCCCAACTGAAATTGTTAGTTATTAGTTCTTCGTGTTCTCCGTTCTCCAGCCAGAACCGAACACTTCTCACCTCTTATTTCCTCCTTTTATTTATTTATTTTTAACTGTCTGGGCTTGTGATAATGGTCAGCAGAACTTCCCTCTGCTCAGTCTGTGACTAGGGGTGGGCTCAGGTCCTCACTCCGGAGATAATGCTCATGCCTCCTATTGCTGGGAACTTGAACATCAGAAACTGGGAAATGAGTAGTCTGGTTCACCTGACCGTCTGGGAGGGCTTGGTAAAGCACAGCTTGCTGCTTTGATTCAGTAGGTCTGGGATGCCTTCTCCTCTCAGAAGGAGAGAAGGCATCTTGCTTCCAGGTGATGGGGATGCTCATCATCCAGGGACACACCGTGAGAACGACCAGATGAATGTAGCAATGCTGAGGTGGACCGTTCTGAGAATATTCAGATTGGGTTTAGGGATGCTCTGTCTAATTAATCGTTCTCTTCTTTCCCCTCTCCATCCCCCATCAGTCCCCACCCCCCGCAGATTTACCTTCCTAGTTCTGTTCCCCTCAGGTTCTGATTCAAGTCCGTTGGCACCATAGCTTGAGCATGCTCCACTCTAGAAAGGACAGAGGAGGTCATTGGGAGGGTGGTGAGTGGGTTTGGGAAGTCATCTCAAGAGTGATGACACCCCTGGGGAGTCTACCATCAGCAGTCTCCATGGGAATGAAGCTGCGGACCAGGACCCAGACCTGGCGGGGCTGCTAAGCGTCCGGCGTTCTCTCTTCTCTGGGCTGCAGGAAGTGGACATTTACACGGTGAAGACGGAAGAGCTGTCGTTCACGTCTGCCTTCTGCCTGCAGATCCAGCGCAACGACTACATCCATGCCCTGGTCACCTATTTTAACATTGAATTTACCAAGTGCCACAAGAAAATGGGGTTTTCCACAGGTGAGCCTTTTGTTGGCATTCCAGACCACCCCGCCATGTTGAGGCTTTGTGGGAAGTGACCAGGGCTGGCCTTCACTTGGGGGAGGGCCCAAGGCATTAGCCAGTGGCTTTTACTTGGCATCTCATAAGACTTCTGCAGCCACAGAGGAATTGTACGTCCCCACACTTTTGGCTGCCCAAGGAGAAGGTAAATAAAACTGTGGCTGGCATAGCAGAGCTGAGAGTGTGTGTTGGGTGAGGAGAGGCAGGGGGTGGGGCCCATGGAGGAGGCTCCACGGAGACTTTTCAAAAGCGTATTTGTTCATTTAGCATTCACTGAGCACATTCTGTGTGAGGGGGTAAGGATACAGAGTGGAATAAGATTTCTCTATCTCCATGGCCGTGCCTTACTACAGGATTCAACGTCTCTCTCAGTAGACTGCAAATGATGTCTCTGTCTCCTTCCTTTCTTCACCACTTCTGCTCTAATCCATCCTCATTAAGTCCTTGACAGTGTTCCCTAGGACCACCAATGCTCCCCTCCCAGCCCTCCTTTAGAGGTGCCTCATTGCCTGTAGCAGATAAGCCCAAATTTCCTAGCCTGGGAAATGAGGGTTCCATGACCTGGCCCTAGCCCACTTCTCCAACCGCATTTCTCATCACCCCTTATTTGCTTTGCCTTCTACCCCTGTCCCATTGCTGCCACTGCACACACAGTCCAGTCACATGAACACCTGGCAGTTCCCTGAACTTAGTGAGGCTTTTAAGTCTCTGGGCCATTGCCTCTGCACATACCAACCCCTTGTCCCTCTGGGTGTGCCGGGGGGGACAAGAGGGTCTTTGTCAGAGGCCCTTGTCATCTCCTGTCCTCCTGTATCAGTTTGCTAGGGCTGCCATAACAAAGTACCACAGCCTGGGTGGCTTAAACAACAGAAATTTATTTCTCATGGTTCTGGAGGCTAGAAGTCCAAGATCAAGGTGTCGGCGGGGCTGCTTTCCCGAGGCCTCTCTCCTTGGCTTGCATGGCCACCTTCTCCCTGTGTCCTCGCGTGGCCTTTCCTCTGTGTGTGCACATCCCTGGTGTCTCTTCTTCCTATAGGGAGACCAGTCAGGTTGAATTAGGGCCCACCCTAACAGCCTCATTTTAACTCAATCACCTCTTTAAAGGCCCTATGTCCAAACAGAGTCACTTTCTGGGTTACCAGGGGTCAGGGCTTCAGCACATGAATTTTGGGGAGACATAATTGTGACCATAACACCCCCCCCTTCTCCTCTCCTGGCCAACTCTAGCACAGGCCTCATCTCTCGCTCAGGTATTACTGGATCCCCTCCTTCCCTCTTGGGTCGTGGTTAGGTGTCCTTCTCGGCGCTCCCCAGCATAAGTACTTACATCTGTCATAGCGATGTTTGTAGTGATACATAGGCACAGTAACACAAAGGAAACAAAACAGTATTAAAAAGGGTAGAAAAAGTCAAGGAAAAGAAATCTCTCCCCATCTGTCCCAGTTCCATGCCTCAGAGGCATATGTTTTTAATGATTTCCTTTGTATCCTTCCAGAAAACTTAACGGTGCACAAGCACATATGTATCTATATATACTTTTCTTTTTGCTTTTTATTTTGAAATAATTATAGACTCACAGGAAGTTGTAAAAATAGTACATAGAGTTCTGTGAAGCCTTCGTCCAGCTCCTGCCTTTGGCGGCATCTTATAGACCTGTAGTACAATATCAACACGACACCTTTTAGAAACACCAGTTGGCTCATACAGTATACACTGGCCTCTGCCACCTTGGCTTGATTTAACAGTATGTCTTGGAGATACTTCCATAGCCTCACAGAGATATCTGCTTTCTTTTTTTAAACAACTACACACAATTTCAATGAGGATGTGCCATCATTTATTCAACATTTCTACCCTTTTTTTGCAAACCTCAGTTTCCCCATGGGCCAGCCTTACATCTCATTAATCTCTGCACTCCTGGCTTCTACAGCAGTGCTGGGCTCAGAGTAGGTTCTGAACAAATCTCTGTTCAATGAGTATATGAAGATATGACTCCTGCCCTTGGGGATGACTTCGTATTGACCATTCATGTGAAGTCTCCCTGGGAACCGGAAGCATGTTGTTGGGAGGGAGTGAGTGTGCATGGGGCAGGAATAGGTGAGTTCTACCAGAATTCAAGGATATGATTATTCACTGCCTGAAGCCATGGTAACGATGATCCTCTTCTACCTGTGGACGGAAACGGCAAGAGACTTATCTAATCCCTCACAGAAGGGAGGGATTTTCCAGAATCAATGTCTCCTGACCACCAAGACCAGGGTCTTCTGGTCTCCATCAGGTCAGTGCTGGTGCTTCCCTGCCCTGGGGGAAACCAGGGACCCCTGATCTGGGTCATTATAGATGCTACCCTCCTTAAAAAAGCAGCAGGAAAGCTCATCTTCCAGTGGGCAGGAACAGCCAGCCAGGGAAGGGAGATTTTAGCTGGATCTTGAGGGAAGAGGAAGACTCAGCCTTGCCATGGTGAGGAGTAGGGGGCAGTGAGGGGGCTGTGGAGCCTGCTTGAGGACCATGGCTATGCCTGGAGGCCAGGGGTGGAGCCACAGTGGCTGGCTCTGCCTCTACCATCCCTAGGATGATGCCTCCTGGAGGGTCTGCCCTGTTGCAGGTGATGAGAAAGTCAGTGGGCAAGGGTACTCTGGGTTTCCAGAGCCTGGGCTCCAGCCCTGTAGCTCTCAGCCAGGGTTTTCCATTTCCTGATCAATTTCCAGTCCTTGAGGTCAAGCAGGCAGCCTGCTGGGCCTCTGTCCGAAGGTGGCTCTCTGGTGGCAGGGACAACATTCCCAATGCCCGTGGAGGAGGCTTGGTTAAACTCAAGTTCAGCATCAAAGAAGTCAGCCCCGGGCTGCCTGAGAGGTGGTGAGGCTTTGCCCTCAGTGTTGAAGTCCCTAGCCCTTTGGCTCCTTTCCTTCCTATTCTCTGGCCACACCCCCCTCAGAGTCCCACACAAGTCCCTGTGAAAGAAATGATGAGGAGTATGTTTCGTAAGCTCAGAGACCATGGGTCTAGATCAAGGCCTGAGCCTGCTCCTTTGTCCTTATGGCATTACATTCCCTCCCTTTGGCACAGAATCCCAGAAACTTAGGTTCTGAAAGGACATCGAGGGGGTCGTACCGTCCTCTGTTTCCCATGCCTTGGTGCCGTACTTCTCCAAATGTGGTCTCTGGACCTGCAGCATCAGCCTCGCCTGGGAACTCTATAGAAATGCAAATTGTTGGGCCCCACCCCAGACCTACAGGGTCAGAATCTCTGGGGGTGGGCCCAGAAATCTGTGTCTTAACAAGCTTTCCAGGTGATTGTGATGCACGAGTCAGTGTGAGAACCACTGCCCTGCTGCATGACTGCCTGAACAGGATGACTGTGACTTTGGCCAGTGTTGCCACCCTTCTGGAAGGGTGGTTCCATCTCCTGAGGAAGGGATCCCCTCTGTTCCCACAAGGCTTTCCCTTCTCTGGCTGGTGTAGACCCCTCTTGCTGCAGCATTCCCAGAGAGACAGAGGTCAGGGCAAAGTCATTTGTTGAGCTGCTTTCTTGGCCTCCTTGGGATGTCAGCGTGGAGCTCCCCGCACGCAGCAGACGCCTTGACCAGTTAGTGTGGTTTGCAGTGGGCTTTACTCAGACCCTCTGCACTCTGACCACCAAGGCAACAGTATGTCCTTTTTATTTTTAAGGACCTCAGATGCACAAGATTAGATTAATGCTAATTCTTGGTTCATGACACATTATGATCATTAGGTCATGCACAGTTCCCTTTTTGCTTATTTATTAATATAATGAGCACCCGTGAACTGACCACCTAACTCAGTAACTAGAATGTAAATAAACTATTATTAACTAGAATGTAACTAACTAGAAATAAATTTATTATTGTTATTAGGGTGTAAATACATTAGTTAACATCAAGAAATAAACGATTATTAATTACGATATAAATATTAACAAGAAATACATTATTAATAAATACAATATGATTACATTTATAATTAACAAATGTAAGTAAATTAGTTCATAGTCACATAATAAATCCCTGGGAGCTCACCACCTAACTCAGTGACTTAAATGCTACCGGTACCTTTGCATCTCCCTGGACGCTATCCCATCCCGCCCATATCGCCTCTAGATGAATAGTATCCTGAATTTTGCGTTCCTTATCCCCTTCTGTTTTAAAAAAGTTTCATCACATGGATGTGTAGGCCTAAGCAATGTATTGTGTGGTCTCAGCTATTGCTGAACTTCATGCAAAGTGTAGCCTGCTGTATGTGGCCGCTCCCCAGTGACCCCGGACTGAATCCCCATCTCAGCCCGGCCCGGCCGGCTCTGGGGGGCCCACTCTGCAGCATGTATTGTGCAGCTTGAGAATCGGCCCTGTTAACGGCTCTGGCGTCTCCTCTCTGTAGCTCCAGGCAGAAGCCGTAATGGGCACTGCCGCCCAGGGGTCCAGGCTATGCCAGCCAGCGGGCCCAGCTGCCCCTCCCCTTGGACACGTCCTCGGTGGGTGGGGGTAGGAAATGGGAACTGGGGCCCTGGGGCTGCTGTGCGGTGGGTGGAAGGGCAGTAGGCCGAGCAGAAGCAGGCCTGGGTTGGAGTCCTAATTTTTCCAGGAATCAGGAAGGTAGGGTGATCAGCCAATGGAGATGACCTTGAGCGAGTTTCTTTCTGGGCCTTGAGCTGGTTATGTGTGAAATGACATGGCTGGACCTGGGTTGCCTGGCAGCCCCTTTCCAGCTTTGCCATCCTGTGACATTAGTCCTTTTCTCAGGTCAAAGAAGCTTCTTGGTGCATAATCTTTAATTCTCCATAAAGCTTGTGAAGCCCCTAGGGAATACAGTTGCAAGTTTACAGCTAGAAAAAGTATCAAATTCCAGGAAAAACTACCAGCCACGTGGCCATTGGGAAGTGAAACAGGAAGCAGGACTCCATTCCCTTTCCAAAAGCACCAGGAAAAGTCTTGAGAGGCCCCT